AAATCCAGTTATCACTTGGGATTTATCTGCATTACATTCTGCAAGACAAAAGCACTTCCTTGAGCTATGAACACATAATATGTTGTCACATCATGACAAAAAAAATTCATCTATAAAAGAAATATAAAAAGCAAAATGCAGTCAGTTCTAAAACCTGCAGTATATTCTATCAGGTTTCACGATTACAAGCCTATTGGCTATATCAGTCAATATACCATATTTCCATTACAATGACTGCCTGTTATCCCACTAATGCAACAGAAAGATTCCCATTAACTCTACTGAGCTTTGAACCAAGTCTGGAACTGCTAGCACATCACTACTTTATAGAAATCATAAGTACCTTGTATTCATCTAGAGTTTGCACTTTTTATCAAAAAGGCTCCAACTAATCAATATATAAATCTAGTTTCTAATGAAATCAAGATATCCAAAATACACACTGTAAATATTAGCGTGTTTTCTAAGTCAATCTACCAGTTATTTACACTGCATTTCTTGAGACAGCAAAGCAAACAATGATTAATATCAACTATTTTATGAACACAGATTTCGTCTCACCTGATGTAAACATCAGGGAAAAAAAGAAACAATAAGCAGAAAAGTGACCATTCAGAGCTTAATATTAATATATGCACTTATATCAACATTTTACATTAATCTTATTTTAATCCAAAGGCTTGTTTGGACAAGTAAATTAATAAATTTGCAAGCATATTTTCACAAGTAGTTTTCAATGTAAAATTTGATAAAAATTAAAAAGTATCAGAGGTCTGATTTTAGCAGGTCATAGGCTTGAAAAACAGCCTTTCACATTTAGGGCTAAGGATATGATTACCATATACTATATTTCCAAGACAAATAATTTTCATACAGCAATCTTATTATTATCACAGGTTTTTAACAGAAACACACACACATGAAATAAATCTGCCTTCCTATATGAAAAGCAAATGAATCTCCAATAGTCCAAAGAAATCCAAAGCCCACACAAAGCAAATAGATGAGTTGAATATAAGACAAAATTAATTTGCATTACATCAACAGTTTTATATTAGCTAGAACAACTACGGCAAGTTTGCATGAAAGACTGCATTAATGCTCACTGAGTGCAAAGGTTAATCTTTTGAATAATTATGTCCCATCTTACAAGGAGCTTTATGATGCTGAGTCTAATTTACACAACCTAGAGGTTTAACAAACTCATGCAATGGCATGTGGAATAATCTAGAGACTTAAGATTAAAATTAAAGGCCTGATTCTCCATGCCTTCAGAATGCCAGTTGAAATTCTAAGGTCAATTGTACTGTCATTATAGAGAGAGAAATTAGCTACCTCATTACCCAAGTAATGCTGATATTTCCATGGGGAGAGATGCTCATACTTTGGTCAGCTCTTTCCAGTAGGTCTTTTTCCTTTATGTTTATATTACAAAAGACTTAGCTGTCTTTAAAAATTCAAGATATTCCAAAGCCACACAAATATAAATAAGCACATGTATATAATTTGCTTGTCCACAAAAGTATACATACAATTACCTGGCACTTCAGGTTATTAAATATAATGCTGATATAAACCAACTTTTGAACTACTGAACAGTTCCAGCTCATTGCAGCTCTCTATGTCATCCACACCTTCACAGCTACAGTCACATACTTATTTTTATATTCATAATCACAGACATCTTACACAAAACAATAAATATTTACATCCATGCAAAAGTAACACACAAAAGCAGCCCATTAGCTTCCAGGGTAGGAAGCAGCACCAAAACAGACGCACCCTCAGTTCTCCCTGGAGCTCCAGAGTTTGCTGCAGTATCAGCACAAGTTGGGTACAAAAGACAGTGCTCAAAAACATGCTCTTCACTTTTGACATTTTCCATCTGACCAGGCATCAGGATAACTCCTGACTAAAAACAGTACAATCTCACCTAAGAAAATAATTACTGGTAATCAATTTACAATAAAATAATTTAAAACTTTCCATGAGACAGTGGGACTCTTCCACCTCTTATAACCGTTTGGTACCAAAATAGTTCACTTGATAGAAAAAAGCCCTTTCCACCAAATGGAGACTTGTGTATTCTTTAGAGTTCAACTAAAGAGGTCTTTTGCTGCCCTTACTAACTGGACTATATTATCAGAATAAGTATGTTCATTTTCTAAAAGTTTGAAAAAAACAGACTGAGGCAAATATCACCAACCACTCACAATTCACAAGTTCTTCTAATAGATGACTTATAACCAACTTTTCTAATAGTGCAATAATCATGTAGGATCTACTTCTATATGAAACAGGTAAAGACACAGGGGGGAATAAAGTATCTTCTGATTAAGGCACTTGATTAGTCATTTGGAGACAGGGTTCATAGTCAGAATCCATCAGAGATTCCCTAGGTGATTTTTAGAGAAATTGTTTTATGCCTTCCTTTTTTGTATCTAAGCAGCACTAACACCTTTTTCCTCACCTTTCTTTGTGTCGTTTGCTAAGTATTCAAATTCTTTACTACAGTAAATGTCCCTTTTCGGTGAGTTTTACCACACCCAGGTAGGGACTAATGTAAACTAGTCCTTAGGGATGACTTCTATTCATCCCTCAGAGGTGAGCGGTAAATAGCTGCTGATTCAAGTATTCATCTGCAGACACATACCTTCATATTAAAATCATAAATAATTTCTTGATTTTAATATAGGTTAAGTAAACACAAATAAAAAAGCCCACAGAACAAAATGAAGCAAATAAAAAAAATTATTGGGGAAAAATGGAGGGGAAGGGGGTTTACCTTTACAAGTAAATCCACTGTGGCAAATCAAAACCATTTTTCTGGAAAGCTTATTATTCGTGTGCCCATCTGCAGTTTCACAGAGCATCCTGTCTCTCCTCAACCTCAGGTTCTAGCAACCAACATGAAACAACATAGCACTTTCAGTGTGAATGCTTGAGGCTCTGGACCCTGAAGCAAAAATCTTCATATCTACATTTACGCATTTTATACAAAATGTACTGGCAATCAAAAAAGCTTAGGATACCATAAAAATAACACCTGGTTGCTATCGTTGTGGATGTAGCTGATCACACACATCACACATTATGTTCTAAACAACAGAGTCTGGAAACATTGCTTCGTCGTGGATATAACCTAGAAATTCACTAATACAGACATCCTTGCACCACGATCCCATGTTCTTCTGGCATAAAAAAAAAATTCTGCCCATTCTATACATTTCCTTTTTATTTACAACCAGCATCAATCAGTGCATTAATTCTTGTTTTCTCAAGTAGTTACACTCTTACCTTGCTGAGTGTTTAAACAGTCATCATATGTTAGACTCTAAAATAAATCTCTAGAAAGTCTGACAGATGGTGTTTTGAAGGATAGTGCCAAGTACCTGGTGTGAATCTGACATTAGCATTCTCTCAGACAACTCACCTTCATCTTTAAAAAAAAAAAAATCCGATGAAATATAGATAGTCCTAGTTATGTGAAGAAGGAATGAGAAAACTATTAATTTATTCAATCACACATTTACCCAAAATGTAATTTCCGCATGAACTTGACACCTAGAAACACCTATTTCATTCTCCTTTTTGTACTTAACTTTGCGTGCTTTCGGTTTTGTCTTTCCTGCATTTTCCTCCTTTCCCAGGCACACACGCACACTCTCAGTGAATACTTCCCCCCTCTGGGAAAAGATCGAACTGCAAGGTGCAAAAAATACATCCCTCTAAGAAATAAGGATTTTGTTTACCGTATGATTATTAGAAAAACAACCGTAAAAAGCAGCATGGCTGCCTCTTCAGCAGCAAGGCAGCAATGATGAAAGGGTACTAAATGTATCGCTATTCATACTGAATTTCCAAGCTATCAAACAGGGGCACTCTAACAAAACCTGGACTCAGTATCTTCATTCAGAATCAATAGAACATACATTAAGGAAAGACAATATAAAAACTGTTGATAGAGAAAGACACTTACTGCTAGCATGGTAAGTTTGAATTAGTTATGATTTTCCTTAAATCATAACAGAACTTGGGGAATTATTTACTGCCTCTGAATGTGAGTTTGTTTGAATGTGTGACTCTCTCAAGGGCCCAACCATGCATTTCTTTGCCTTAGTCTCATTTAAGAGCTTGATAGGTTGCTTTATGCATCATTCTTTACCACTTCTTTTCAACATTCGGTTCCAAGTTTAACACCGATTTTAAAAATAGCTATCATGAAGTTCAGAAGAAAAACATGCATAAAGGGAACTTAGTGAATTACACTTCTGCAAAAGTTGAAATTCTGTACCACAAGGCCTGCACTCAATCACTGTACTGAGTAGTTATTAAAAGAGAGACTAAATTATAAACTTTTTGAAGAACCTCCAGCTGAATTAGTCCAACTAAAGCAAGGAAAGCCGAGCGAATTACACTGAATAACGAAATATTACGACGAGCATATTCTGATCGCCGTACGAAACCAAGAGAAAAATCATCACGTCCTGGATGGAACAGTATCATGAAACTGATATGCCACATCCAATCAATGCCTGACATCGCGCAGTCAACTAAAACAGCGACGCATTAACAGCATAACAGTATTACCATATAAACCTTATTACTTCAGCACGCAAAACAGGACATAATGAGTTCAATGAGACGCCAGCATGTGTCTTTGTGCAAGCAAGCCCGGGCGCCAGGGGAGCGCTTCCAGCACAGGCGAACCCGCCGTGGCAGATCCACCGCACGGCGAGCGAGCCCGGGCGGCGGGGCGGGAGGGCAGCGGGGCACACGGGGCCGCCGCCGGGGCTCTGCCGGACGGTCCCTGGGCGTGGGGTCCGGCGCGGTTCCGAGCTCCCCGCCCTCCGCCGCCCCTCGCCCACGCGTGGCCGGGTCCCCCCGCGGGCCATCGGGCTGCGCCGCCGCCGCCGCCCGCCCGCAGACCCCCCGTTGGCCCCGCGGCGCCCGAAGCCAGAGGAGCGCCCCGACTGGGGGAGCGCGGCGCGGAGCCTCACCGTCTTCCAGGAGGCGCATGGCGTGAACAAAGCAGGGATCCAGGCTGTCCTTCTCGGCCATCAGCTGGGGCAGGTACTTGTCCTGCTCCATGCCCGCGGCACGCCGGGCGGGCAGCGCGGGGTGTGCGCTCTCCGCTGCGCGCCCTCGGCCGCCGCTCGCCGGTGCCCGCCCCGCAGGTGCCACCGCCCCTCCCGCGGCGCGCGCTGCCCCCGGCCCCGCCTCCGCCTGCCCCTCGCGCCGCGCGGGGCGGGCACGTGAGCGGGTCGCCGCGCGTCGCTGCTCGCGCGCCTGGTCGTTGCCTCTGCCCCCGCCCCCCTCTCCTCCCGCCACTGAGCGACCCTCGGCCAGCGGCACCTTAAATAGGGAGGCGGGGCCAGCCGGGCCGCGCCCGCGACGTTCCCATTGGTTGCCGGGCCTCCCGGCGGCGGACTCGCACCGCCATTGGCTGTCGCCAGGCGGGAGGCGCGCGGCCGTCGGGGGGGGGGGCGGGCGCGCGTGAAGGATCGAGTGTGTGTGCGCGTCTGTCTGTGTCTGCCTCTGTGTGTGTGTCTGTCTGTGTGCCTGTGTGTGTGTCTGTCTCTGCCTGTGTGTGTCTGTGTGTGTCTGTCTGTCTATGTCTGCCTCTGTGTGTCTGTGTGTCTGTCTGTGTCTGCTTCTGTGTGTGTGCGTCTGTGTCTGTCTGTGTCTGCTTCAGTGTGTCTGTGTCTGCCTGTGTGCGAGTGTGTGTGTGTGCGTGCATGACACAGCGTGTGTGAGTGGGGTGTGGGGGACAGGTTGTGCTGCAGTGCCTGGTGTGAGCGTGGGTGTCGCGACCGTGCCCGAGAGTGCACACGTGGGTTTGTGCCTTTGTGTCCGCGCGTGTCTCAGCGCGCCGGTGTCTCCGCGTGGGCCCTGGGCCCGTGCACGCCGGTTCTTCCCGTCGGTGCGCGCCCGACAGTCGGCCGGGCACGTGTGTCCGTGTCCGTGTCCGTGTCCGTGTCCGTGTCCGCACGCGTGGCCGCGGCTCTGTGCCCCTCGTGCCTCCACGGCTGCCCGTGCGCGGCTGTCCCGCCCACCTCCCCGCCCCGCGCCGCCGCCGGGCGCTGTCCGTGGTGCTGAAGCCGGGGAGGCAGTGGCGCTGCCCGGCCCTTCCCGGCGCTGGTCGATTCCCTGCCTTCCCGGCTTTCCCGCGCAGCCCGCGGTGCCCTCTCCGAGCCACGCGGCTCGCTGGGGTGCGGGAGCTGCCCCGCTAAAGCGCTGCCGCATCGACAGCCGTGCCCGCGGCGGAGGTGCCAGACAGCGACCCCCGTGAGGACGTGATCGGAGCATCAGCCATCGGGCACCGCCGCTCACACGGCGCGCCGAAAATGTCTGCCCGCGGGAGCTGCGCACAGCGAGGGGGAGCGCAGGAGGGGCCTGGCGGTCCGGAGTGGAAGGGGCGATGTCTGCTGAGGAATGCTGTGCTGCACCTTCAGGGGCAGCTCTCTGCAGCTCCCACGGCCCCCTGACAGAACTAGAGCTATTATGCAATTAAAGTGTCTACAGCTGGGGTAAATAAAACTGATTTTAATCAGAATTTAGCTTTAAGTATACATTCAGTAGAGGTTATATTTGTCCAGGATTTCTCCTCAACAGGCAATTTAGTATCGTGTTTTGATTTTAGAGAGTAAAAAAAAGATGTTTAACTTACCTTAAGCTCTTGAAATTCAGTTTGTGGGACCTCAAGACCAAACAGTCTGTGGCAAAACAGCACTTTGTGCTCAATCCCTATGTGAAATTCTTAGTATGTACCACTAAGATTACTAACTTTGTATTTATTCTAATAATACACATAATTGTTGCAATAACACATTTGTAAATAGACTACTACTGTTTACCTCAAGATTCTTTTGTTGTGATGTTTGGATTTTGTTTGTTTGTTTGTTTGTGATTTTGTTTTCATTGTGGAGGATTAGCGCAGAAGGAAGGAATGACGAAGATAAAAATCAAGGCAAAAACTCTTTAATGTCCTCCACAAGGTTTTGAATGCATTGTACAGACATTACATAAAAACTTAGTCTGTGAGGTTTTCAAAATCCTAAAATATAGGTAGGCAACATTTTTGCAATTTCCACTCAGCATGCAGGTAATTGAGGGACTGCATGTGTTTACAAAAATCAGTGAAAAATGTCGTGACTGGTGTGTTATTCTATAGTATTTCCAGAAATGAGGGATAAAACATCAGAGAACCAACTTTCCTGCTGAGAAAGAGTAAAGGCAGGAAAACAGTTAATTTCAGCAAACTTTTGAAACACTCAAGAAGCAGAGAAGACTGACAGCAGAATTGAAATGTTTAATTGTCAATCAGCTTTTACTACAAATGATTTATGGGGATAAAGGGAAGATAAAAGTCCTCCTTTAAAACACAACAAAACAATAAACAAAGAAAGCAAAGGGAAGCATAGAACTAAGATAGTTTATTAATAATTTACCCTGATTCAATTTACCGCATGAATAGTTCTTCTTTCCCATTTAATAGCTCAGCAAAAAATGGCGCAGCTTGCAACACAGCTCAGGACTGTCTTGCTCAAGAGAGCACCTATGTCATCAGACTGTATTTCTGCATCTCTCTTTATCAGAATAATTCAGGCAGGTGCCCCTCGCTTCAAGAACAGAGAAGACTGGTGATAAGGTGTGTTCACTTAAAGCACCTTCAAGATGAATCTAAGCTGTCCCCGCTCAGAAGCAATCCTGATCTGGTAGCTTTCAAAATGCACCATATGGTCTTGTATATGGAAAATCAGGTTTTGGGGCTTTCCATCTGGGGTGCTAGAAGAATAGTATTACTTTACTTTGTTTAATTGTACTTAACCTACTTAGATCACAGGAAGCTTTAATTTAAAGACCTTTGTGTTTATTAAACTATGGCAAGTGCTACAGTCATTAAATTCTTTTTTTTTTTTTCTGGTCAGAGGAGTAGACAGCAGATTTGCTTGCACATCCTTACATCAGGTAACAAAGTAGAAACAAGTTTCCTGTGAGCTCGTTTTTCAAAAGATATAGTATTTAATTGACTTGCAGTGATACTTGGATTGCAAAGCCATTGAGATAACTTTTCTGAATTTTACCTTATATCTCATTAATAATAAAACAAAAAAAAGGCATTAAAATCTGTCAGACAGGAAATATAGACCTCTAATGACATCAAGCATGACTCCATTGCTAGTTGGAGATCAATTTTTTTCATAGCTACTAAAAACCAAAGACATTTTTTACAACTTTAGTTTGAAGTGTCAAGTCAATTAAAGTTTATCTGTACTATACGTTATTGCTAAGTCTGATACAGAGGTGGATCACAGCATACTAGATTATAGCTTATTCAGAGATAGAACAGGTATCAATCATTATGTATTTTTGAGAGAGCCATCTAAATGGACATGTATTTTCATATAGCACTGAAGTCAAAAGGCACAGGCAAAAAATTGCAGGAAAACCTCCAAACTTTGCAAATGCATGTTCAAAAAATATTAAATCTTTTGAGAATAGGCAGTAGAATGAATCGCCAGTGTAAGCACAACAACAAGGAATTACCCTTCTGACACGTGATGATAAAGTCGACATAGTAATTTAAATGTGTAGTTATCTGTGTGTGTATGAGTGCACCTAGGACTTCACACACCAAAAATCAGATTAGTCAAGAGTTTTCAATTTCAGGAATTCAATTTGCTTTCAGATTTCTTTACTGTTTGACTTGATTTAGGTATGGATAAGGGTTATCTGATTCCTGCACTAACTGCAGATGAGCATTTAAAAAAGAATACAGACTTTCTCCTATCACCTAAGTAACCATCTCTTTCCCTGAAAGTAGAATTATAATTGACAATATAAGGAATAAAGAAGTAGCAATACATGTGCAAGAAAGAGGAAATGGCCCCACCTCCTTTACTTCAGTTTATCTAATTTTTTAATACCAGTCCTTGGACCTTGTGGCTTCATGGTTTGATTATGGGGTACCTGAACATGTATAGGCCATCAGTGTGAAGCTTGTTTCCATGTAGCAATGCTGGGATGCTGCACTGGGCTATGACCAAGGTGGGTCCCTTTCCTTTTGGAGGCCAGACCTGCAGCCTCGCAACTGCCAACAGCTTACCATGCAATCCAGAAAGGAATTGTTCATCAGCAAGTGCACAAGTCACTGCAGATCATCTTCAGACTAGCCCAGGCACAGCAAAGGACTCAACTGTAAGGTCCAACACACAGATAGTTTATCTCTGTGGAAGTCTCTGATTTCAGCAGAGTTGTGGTCTCTCCACTCATATAACTGCATAAACACTGATTTATTTTAATAGAGACAATTAGTACAGATTAGCCTTTAATCTATATAAATCATATAAATCAGCTTCAGTTAAAAATATATCAATAGTTACTTATTTTCTTTCAAGACATTAAATAGTTTCATATACTCAGAGAGCCTAGGATTCCAGAAGAGTTCAGTGTGAGTTCCTGGTGTACTATGAATACTAGCTTATGCTGTAACTTGGTTTATGACACCCACATTTCAAATTTTTAGTTTGTCAAAACACACATCAAATAAGATTATGTATGTTACTGCTCTATTTCATGTTATCGTCCTGGAGATGTTGTAAATAAGAAGTAACTGAAAATGTGACTCAACTAAATGTCATGCAACATATCATATCTTCACTGAGGGATCTGCTTTTTCACTAATTTTGAATTTTTCATTATTTTGAAACAAAATAATAAAGTATAAAATAGCAGCTGAACACACAAAAAAATGCTGAAATAGAAATGAACAGCAAAGAATAAAATGCAGTCTAGAATATCTTTTCTCTTCTTCCCTGTGATAGCAACAAAACTGACAGAGGAGGTGAGACACTATGACATAACTATAATTTCCTTCTCTCCACATGGAGGTAAACACTAGATCTTATATTTTGCTTGTCCCTGTTTGAAGTTCTGTCTCTGCTGTTCCTTCTGACCTTTATATTACAGCTTATCCATTGCATGTTGCCCAAACGTTTTCACAAAAATCTTCTCCATGATCGGAGCACAGTCTCCACTTCACCTATTTTCTCTAACCTTACTGCAATCAGTAAGTCAGAATTTCCCTTTCAATCTCATCTCCAAGATTTAGAGCTGTCCCTCTTCATATAAAACCTCCATTTACATGGCTTCCTAATTTTCCTCTTCACATAATGCAA